GGGGGGGGGGGGGTGCATGTTTGACTTTATATGGCTTGCATTTGCTCTTCATCTTTTAATATTAATATAAAGCTGCAACACACCATCTCTTTCTTCAAAAGTCTCACAATAAAACTTTCCCAGTTAATAATTTACATTTAAACAATTATTTTTGGTATGACAAGTTTTTCAGAGATGTTGCCTTTTACTATACACATGGGGCTTTATCTAATGCAAACTTTTGTTGAATTTAAGGGAAATCGAATTGAGGTAAAAAACAATCACCTAAATTATTAGTTATTTGTTTTTTTTCTTTCTACTAGTCTGAATAAAGACATGGCATGAAAAAAAAACTAGCCCAAACTCCCAAAACGGACCGATGCACGATACATTATCCTTTTTTTTCTATAGCGTCTTAGCTATAAAGTAATTATTTAAATTGTGTAAACAAATAAAAGAGTGAATGTCTCAGAATATCAATGGAGTCAACATACTAAATGTTAAAGTGGATAATTGCTTTATCATACTTTCAATACTTAGTTATCAACATTTAAATCACGTGCTTCTGTGCTTACCCGACACCCTTGAATAGAACTGGTTTGTTAGTGGGTGTACCAACAATAGTTTGAGCTTTCATCAGGTGCTCTGGGTCAGCGACAATCAGGGTGTGCTGGAGAAGAGAAGGATCACTTGTAAATAAACACACAGACATGGAAATGTAAAGGCTTGATGTGAGAAACGAAGTGAAGGAGCCTTCTGTCTGATCAGAACTCTGTTTACCTCTCCAGCGTCAGACACGTCGTAGTTGTGATGGTCGATGACGGAGGTCTTTTCTTCATCAAACTCGACGCCACACTCGCTGCCCAGCTCCCTCAGAGGGTCACCTGTAAACAGGAGAAGACCATCAATTCAGTATATGCAATAATATGGTGTTTTTTCTAATATTACGAAAAAGGTGTTGGGAATTTACTCACCAATATCTGAGTTTGCAGCAACCAGGACATTGCCTCCACCATCAATGAAGGATGTGATAGTCTCCACATTTATGTTTCCTCCAAAGTCTGCCGAAGATCAAAACGTGATTTTTTATCAAATCAACAAGTCAGACATAAGTGTGTTAACATGATTTTAACCGAAGAGTGTTAGACTTACCCTCAACTGATGGTGAGAAGATGACTAAATGGTCGTACAAGAACTGGCCGTATTTGATGAGAGATAGGGAGGGATCGTCAGCCGTCTTGAATGTGATGTCAAAGCCTCGATCTGAATGGGAGAGATGAAAAAGTTTAAAAAATACTTTAGTTGTGCATTACTCAGTAACTTGAACAAAGAACTGTGAACTTCCATACTTTAACTCCTTTACATTTAGCACAACATGTGAAAAACTTCCCGTCAGTGGTTATTGTCAAGGGTCATGTGAAACCACCAGAATTGTATATGTTTTGTTTTCAAAATAAAGGATTTTGGTTTCTACAGTATACATGAAACCATTCAAAAGGAAAGTGGGTTACCCCAGTGGTGGAAAGTAACTTATTACATTTGGAGATTCTTCAACTCTAAGCTACTTCATTTAGGAAGCCAAAACTAACATTTATGGAAAGATGTTCAACATTATTTAAATAATAAAGTATTGCAATGATACTGTAAAAATGAATGGATCAATACTTATAATCAATGTATTACTTTTCCTGTTTTATCAGTAGTAGTAGTAGTAGTAGTAGTGGTAGTAGTAGTAGTAGCATAGTGTTTCTACCCTGTGGCATTGGTAACTTTACTGAAGTAGATGATCTGGTTTTCGCTTTACATAATGCACCTGCTTGACATTTTCTAAGCAAACAAGCTGGGAATAAATTGGCAAGTCCATTTACAGTATGATGGCAAGCAAATCCTTAGTTAGCTCAGGAAGGAATGTCAACATACTGTTTATAACTGTATATGTATTCAAATCAATGTAGCCTTGATCAAATCCATAAGTCATATCTGCATTTTTGGTTGATGACTGCTGAATTGATCATAAAGTGCTGATTGTATCAAATGATTAATTATTTTTGTGGTGACGCTACTAGAAGTACGCCAAATTCAAGAGTGTCCCTGTGTCTATTGTATGCAATACAAGTCTAAATTAACAAGCACTTACACTATCATTAGTTAGGTAAAAATATTATAAACTGCTAGCGCCTTGAATTAAGTTTGGCAAGACACAGCGAGCATAATAAAGCTAACGTTAGCCTAGCCGTGCTGCATGAAGCTAAACTCTACAGGCTCAAGTCCTAAAGTCTCTAAAGTCATGTTACATACAAGAGACCTGTCAGCAATACAAGGGGTGCTATAACAGTAAAAGTAAAGAGCATTTATGGATGGAAAAAAAACATTTCTTACTGACCTGCCAGACTGCGGAAGAAGATTGAATGGGTGTCTCTGATGTTGAGGTTGTCCAGTAGAACCAACGTTTTGCCGTCAGCCAAAGCACAATGCAACAAAGAGGATAACGCAAGCAACACAAATACACTGTTGTCCAAAAGTCTGAACCTCCTTTGCGACATAATTCCGCTCCGTTTTTTGGACGATACTAAAGAACCGGGATGGCTCGTCTGCATGACTGCTGTCAACGACGCCATTTTGCTGCAGAAGTCGACGTCAGCATTAGGAGACTACTTCACTTTGACCCCGAGCTGCAGCCAATCACAGAGAGGAACGCGTCTCTCCGGCTGACTCTCCGCCAATGGGAGGAAAGCTTTATTATAAGGCTGACCATCACGGAAGAAGTCCAGTTTGGGGAATGGATGAGAAATGAAAGCTTTAGCGCAAGTTCAATAAGGAAGACCTAACAATGAGTCACTTACACGTCATTCTATTGCTTTCTCCCCCCTCATTAAATGCGTGGGCGTCACCCCCCAGCAGCCAATTGCTGCACACGTTAAATTCCTTAAAATGCCTGCTCTTCCTTCCTGTCAGTTGTCATTTCAGGTGACCACACGCAACCCTCCTCCACCCATCTCGCCTCCCGTCTCCTCCAGGACAAAGCTAAACCTTCCTCCTTCAGACCGGTCCCACCTACTTATCACCACCACCAGTGTCTAGACCCCGGGGATTTTCCTCGGAGCGCTTCTTTCCATCCCGAATGATTATCCTGCAAACCGGGGCCTAATCGCCAAACACCATTCCATTCTCCTGTTGTATTATCATGGCAATAATTTCATTTATATGACGTGTAACAATAAATATGTATTCCATACATCACGTCTCTCCGGTTTGAACTAGGAAGCGTATCTCCACAAATGTAAAGAATAATCATAGCTAAAGATAAATAGTTCCATGACTTTATTGTATAAGGAGGTGCATTGCCTGAATCTGGATGTTTGTCTTAAGAGATGTATTATGTTGGGAAATAATTTGAAGGAAAACTATGTAAATGCAATTAATTTTTAAAGTAATATGCCATATTACTGGAAAGTGACTGTTCCTTATATAATATATGAATTGTTTGCCCCACATACCTGGAATGTCCCGTTCTCAGACATTCTAGGTATTCCGTGAACAATGTAGACTTAAAAGGACACAAATAATAAAAAGTTATTATAAAAAAAGTTAAAATCAAAGCACAAAACAATGTGAGTGAGACTGTGATGATTTTTTATTGTTGGGATGTTGACTACCAGTGACTGTAAGTTACGGATATCTAATACGAATCTTGCAGGTGTTAATACAAACAAAACAAATAATAACTTAAAAACATTGGTGTCAGTCTTTATACAAATGTGATCATTTTATTGCAATACCAAAAGAAGATGTCTTGTTATCACCAAAAATGGCAAATTGTTAACCAGCTTATCATCTCCACAAATGTTCCTTTTATCTTTTATCAGAGGTATTAAGACTTTTTCAGATGACAAAACAAATATACAAATAGTATACAAGCAGAATGTCAGGTAGGACATGAATCCACTCTTCCTACTTCCTAGAAAAGGAGGTGGCAATGAACCCCCAAATAACTTGTTAGTCCCACCTCTGTAATTATGTAAATAATCTCTGTATAGGGTGAATTTCAAGAAAATACTTACAACTAAGTACAATAAAATAGTTTGACTATTTAAGGAAAATGTACACATCTCATCCGAGAGAAATGGAAAAATAACGACAAGGTCATTTTTAAGGGAAAATGGGTTAAACAGGATTGTGATATCCTAATACAAAGAACAGAGCAAAGTCCAACATTTCAGTCAAAAAGTAAACAAACTACAAGACATAGAATCCTGGAATAAGGATGCAAAATAACAACATTTTTGACCCAAAAAAAGGATATATTCTATGTTATAAATCCAGTTTAGATTCACTTGTAACATTTGCAATCCTCACACGTTATTTCTTATATTTCCATCTCCAGTTAAATAATTACATTTATTTCCAGCAATATTTAATATTTCAATATTTCTTTCTTCACAAATCTTCCCCCCTATGCCTAACTCTCACATTCCATCTCCTCTTCTTTTTCCTTCTCCTCTACTTCTGCTGCAGCTTCATCCTTTCCTTCCGTGTGGAGCTCAGTGTGGGTTTCCTCCTCTTCCTCCTCCCTCCTCTCCTCATGAGTCAGCCCTTCAGTCTCTTCTTCCTGTTCTTGTCTCTCCCCCACTATCCCTCCCTCTCCCTCTCCAACTGTCGTTCGGAAGATCAGCTCTCCTCCTTCCTGGATGACTTGCTCCGTGGCTGTGGTGTATTGGTAGAAGTCGGAATCTGCCTGGAACATGACGAGGGCCTGAGCTGTGTGGATGCGAACGTGCTGGGCGAGGGAGCTAGCGTCCAAGAATTTATCCCCGCATGAATCACAAGCGTACAGGATCTGGGTGTTGGGGTCTGGGAACAAGAGAGGAGTTGAATTAATAGACTGATACCAATGTGTTTTTCAGTGATCTGGCTTAGAATAAAAATCCATTAAGTTCTTTAAAGGGGCGCTTGTATGCTCATTTTCAGGTTTGTATTAGTATTTTGTGCTTCTACTGCAATATGTTTACATGGGTTAGGGTTAGGGTTGTCTATTTAATTTTTTTTACTTTCTATACCCCGCTTCATAAACATTACTGACTTCGCTCTGCTTCTCCAAGACTGTCTCACATTCCAGGAATGTGACAAAATACATTGGTGCCACTTTTTCAAGACTTACATTTTAACCAAAACTAATAGTCAAGTATGGATGAGAAGTAAGTATAAGCTATTATATAAAAGATACATTTGAACATCTACAATTCAATGACAACTCTTTCTGATGATGAAAACCATGTAAGACCATATAAAGCTCCAGAACAGCTATCAAATAGATCTGAAGTAGAGTTTTTTTTCAACATCCTGTCATTTTTATCTCTTTACCAAACTTGTTATCGTGTTGTGATGCAGATATTCAACTGCACATTCAGACAAAAGTCCATTAAGCAAAAAGCTTTTGTCTGCTCTGAAAATAGGTTTTAAAGCATTCATTGATATTCACAAATATTTGTGTATCCATGCCTATTTTAAATGTATCATTAATACTTTATGCAATAATACTGTTATGCAATAGAAAAAAGGTTCATTTTACCCAAATCAAGATCAAATATCAGACAGAAAACAGTACTATACAGAGCAATGGTCAGCTGGAATTCGTTACCGGTCCATATCATTCAAGACAACTCAAACATACATTTCAAACATTTGCTAAAACAATATCTGAGAACTACAAATTAAATTTGAACTGTACTTGTGGGTCAATTAGTAATTAGTATTATCATGTAAATTATATTGTTGGTAAAAATTTTGTTTAGGTTTTGACTTGATGATGGCTAAAATGTGATGACTATTTTTTTCTGTTTTGTTTTTGCTTTCACTTCCTTACCATGCACTTTTCATGAAATTATGAGTTGTTCTGTTCTGGTTTGTATTATGTATGTTTTGTGTGGGTGAGGACCCCAGGAAGAATAGCCAATGCCAAGTGCTAATGGGGATCCTAATAAAAAAACTAAAAACTAAAACTGTTGATGGGAATTCTTGTGTTTTCATTAGGAAATATAAAACATTTAGTCCTGATGCAGTATTAATGAATGTGTGGATAGCTGATGTTGAATACCATAATAACTAAACCACTGTACCAATTCTGGCCATATACAAGAGGATCAGTAAAAATGCTGATCATTATTCCCCTGTGGCATCTTAAACCCCCACCACAGCTTTTCCCCTCAAATTAAGTTGAATTGCGCATTCCTACATTTAGTTTAGTATTTTTCTGTTACTCCAACTTGTGACTAATATCCTGTTAAATGCAATTCCTGATCGCATTGTTAGTAGGATGTCCTAAACCAGTGCGATTATTCCATTATTAAAATACAGATGTTTGTGTGCATACTGTAATGTATTTTCCAAACACATTCTTACCTGCTTCTTGCACTTTCTCCACTGCCTTTGTGATTTCAGCCTTTAAAGCCTCAGTCTCATCTGCAGACACTGAAGCAGCCACAGGAACAACTGTAAACAGAAACAACATAAACAAACACTCCTTAATGTGTGAGCCCTTTAATCATAATTCTTCTTTTATTATGTGCAGAAGTTCATGGTGATAAATACAGCTTGTGTACAAGACAAGGACACGATATTTCCCCTAAAATCCCGGAACCCTGCGTTAAGTACCCTGTGTACTTGATTTGTTTAAACCTTCAAAGGCTTTCATAAGGTTTGTAGTTATTTTGCCATAATGTTTAAGGTTTTTTACCATTATAAGCTCTGATCATGCCCTCCGACTCTAACTAGTTCAGTTTTCCTGTAGCTTGTTGTCTGTATTAATAGTGATGAAGTTGAATTAAAAAAAAGATGCTGTCTGACCTCTCAGCTGAGCCACAGCGCTGGCTGCCAGGGTAACGATGTCCTCCGTAGTGACGGTAACTATGTTGATCTCGCCGTCAGAGGTAGACGCGCACCCATCGAGCCCCTCGTCTGCGCTGCCCCCAGCTAACACCAGCCGCTTCATGCCGGCCTTCCCTTGGTGCACGGTCTTGACGTGTGAGCGCAGGTTGTCCACCCGGTTGAAGCCTCGGCCGCATTTATCACACAGGAACGGTTTCTCTCCTGAGGGAGGAAACAAATTAAGTGAAAATGTAAGGGGGAAAGGCAAAGCAACTTTATTTGTATATTACACATTTTGTCGCAATTCAATATGCTTAACAGAGTAATTAAATACAGCAAAGACAAACTATTTACTTTATAATTCTACTGCTTGATTTAGTTTTTTAACATAAATCTGTTATTTTCTTGATTTTATTAACGTGTGCTTGTCTCTTCATTTAGTATGTTAGTCTACTAATTGTATTTCACTTTTTAATCTACACTGTTCTTTTGCTGTAAGATTGTACATCACCCCAAAGTAGGACAAAAAAGGATTTCTGCTTCGTGGTTTGAATGTGAAAGAGGACAGGCAAGACTTGTGTAGTTTCAATTAAGTAAAATATTTATTAAAAAGATAACTTTGTCCTTACCTGTGTGGATGATAATGTGCTTGGACAGGTCTCCCACATTAACAAATGCCTTTGAGCACATCTGACATTTGTGGGGCCGGACATTGTCGTGATGCCGAATGTGATTGGCCAGCTGACTGGACTGCACGAACCTGTCCACAGAGAGAGAGAGAGAGAGAGAGAGAGAGAGAGAGAGAGAGAGAGAGAGAGAGAGATTCACCGGTCATCTTGTTTCCTACTCATCCACTGGCATTGCAACTAGATTTCTTCTAGCTGCAGATTTTGCGAAGAAATTCTTGGCAGTATTTTTTTAATATGGTACATTGCAAATGCCACATGCCTAGGCCATAAACATGGTATGGGCTTCCCTACTATTCCTTATGCAAGATCTGCTTTGAGGCTCTTAATACATTACATGTCTTGAATAATTGTCTGTTTGCTCATATGTTTCTATACAATGTGTTTTCTGCTAATGTCAAGTCTTAATGCAGCAAATATCAAGATCATTTTACAACAATAAAGTAACTTTAAGATACAATTTTAAATCACAGTTTATGTGCTCGGATCTCTCTTTACATATTTTTAAATATTCTTATTGGATTCAGAATCATAACACTTCTTTTAACCCATGGGAAATTGGGTTTTGTAACAGTTTTATAAAGAAATTAAATAAAAATATGGTATGATGTCAGTTTATATTCCACAGATATAAGTATTTTTGTTATTGTATTAACCTTTTGTAACAGCACAAATGCATCTTCATTTTTTTTATCATACCTTTTGCCGCAGCGATCGCACACGTAGGGTTTCTCTCCGGTGTGCTGGCGGACGTGAGCGATGAGCGAGCTGGCCTGTGTGAAGGCCTTTCCACAGATGGGACAGACGCAGGGCTTCTCTCCTGTAAATAAGGATTACAGCATCAACATGGTGTCAGGTGAATACAAATCGTATAGTGTTCAAACTGAAAAAGGATGAAATGATGATAAGTGTCATGGCAGTACCTGTGTGGATCCGTTCGTGCCGCTGCAGAGCTCCGGGGTCACTGAACGCTCTCTGGCAATGCATACAGATGTACGGTTTCTCCCCACTGTGGACTCGCAGGTGTCTCTTCAGATTGCCTAATAAAAGAAGAACAACATTCCATCACAGAAAGATTAGGTCAAATGCCTGGAAGCAAAGACAACTAAGAGAAGATAAAACATGGATTTAAACTGAAGCAGCTAGAATTGTGGTTGCTCCAGATAAAATGTTCACTGTACACGTTGGGCATTCTTTGAATTGGTGATAACTATGTCTTTTTTATTTTATAATAGAATCATTTTATTCTTGTAGCTACTGTGTAACCACCACTCGTAGATCATTTTAATTAAAATCATGATTAAATGGTTCAATTTTTTAGCCCTCTCCTGGCTGCAAAAGTGCCTGACTTCAGCACATTTCTTACAGGTAAATATGACTGTATAACAGAAATAAACTAAATTCATGGAAAGTATAATCCATACTGTCTTCTTACCTGATGTAGTAAACTGTTTACCGCATTCCTTGCACTTGAGAGGCCCGTCTGCGATATGGATCTTTAAGTGAGCCTTCAGATTTCCAGGCTAAAGACACAAAAAGTAAACAAACTCAATATAATTCACTCAGTAACACTTCACTGGTAATTATATGGTAATGGTAGCAATCTAACTAAGCTTTTCTAAAGGTTTAAAACTTTATGACATTTCACTGAAAAGTCTACAATTAACCTCAACCTGTTCACCAACATGCTGTTACCTGGTTGAAGCGCTTGTCGCAGTAGGGGCAGCGGTTGCCCTTCTCCGTGTCGTGCGTCTCCAGGTGCCTCATCTTGGCGGTGGGGTCGGAGAAAGCCTTGTCGCAAAAGTCGCAGTGGTACGGCTTCTCCCCGCTGTGGACCAGCTGGTGCCGCTTCAGGTTCCCCGACGTGGTGAAGAGTTTTCCGCAGACGTCGCAGCTGTAGCGCGCCTCGCCCGTGTGACGCTTCCGGTGCAGGTTGAGCAGGCTGATCTGCCGGTAGCTCTTCCCACACGTCGTGCAGCAGTACGGCTTCAGAGGGCTAGGGGGAGACAAGAGCACAACTAATGATATCAAACTGACAGAGCTCAAAGGGGGCCTTTTATGCTTGTTTTCAGGTTGATATTTGTATGTTGTGCCCCTTCTGGGACATGTTTACATGCTTTAATGTTCAAAAAGGTCTTGATTTTTCTCATACTGCCTGTGCCTGGCAATCAGCTGACCTTTACAGTAAAAGTAGCAACATAGCCTAGACAAGAGATCCATGTGCTTTTTAAAACTTTTATAAAATAAGCACACGTAATGGATTTCAGGAATAAGATAAGTCTACACATCTTCCATCAAGGACTGAAAACTAACCTGTTTTGCCTGAACCTTGGCCATTAAACACAAACACATGTAAAACTTAAAAGGGGCATTTTTATGCTAATTTTCAGGTACATATTTGGGTTTTGTGCCACTACTGTGACACATTTAAATGCTTTAATGTTCAAAAGCTCTCTATTTGTATCACACTGCCTGTGCTGCAGCACCTCTTTTCACCCTCTGTCTGAAACCAGAGCCCAGCCTGCTCTGATTGGTTAGCTGGCTCTTTTGTGATTGGTCAACAGCTTAGAAAAGTCCAGCCCCTTAGTGTATCACGTACAATGTGTTTGAGCGCTAGCCAATAGAAGTGTTACATGGTGATGCTATTTTGTACAAATAATAATGCTGAATATAATAAGTCACTCACCTGTGTGTTTTTTCATGAGCTTTACAGGCTGCGGGGTCAGAGAAAGCCTTGTTGCAGTCCCGACAGCTGAACGGCTTCTCTCCCGTGTGAATGCGCATGTGTCTCTTGAAGTTACCCGTGTGCGTGAACTTCTTCCCACAGTCCTGGAAAAGAAAGACGAAGTATGTCATTAAGACTAAGCTGACACAAACGTTTTAATGAAAATATATTTATGCAAAAGAAACCAATATCTGCTTGAATGTCACCGACATGTTCACCATGCTATCGACATTATTAAATGTTTGTGTTTAAAGCAGCTATTTTAGCTTTAATGCATCTGCAAACGTTATCAGGTCAAACAGCTAAGTATGGCTGGGGATGTTCACACTCTGCCCGTGATGAGCAGCTCTATTCCAGATATGGCCACAAAGATGGTGATATTAAATGTGCAATATGTAATTTTCTGCCCACTAAAGGGCCTTCTCCTTCAGTGGTTTGTTTGTAATTGATCTAAGCTTTTCCAGTTAGATTACTTGTTATTGGATATTCTTCAGGATGTTATTACCGTGAGCTAAATTATCCAAAGATATCTACTCCTCTCAAAAACTCACTGATGGAATGATTCAAACTGGTAAAAACACTGAATAAAACTGTTTCTCGTTAGAAATCTGTGTTGCTCAGCAACTTGTAGGCTGCTGTTTATGTTACCTCATCTTGTTGTTTTAATAATTTTCAGATCCAAAAGTCAATTGACTAAAATCTTTCATCCGTTTTAAATAAATAGTAAGAAATTACCAATATCTTAAAACTGTATTGTAAAAAAATCGGCTTAAAAGTTGAAAAGTTAGTTTATGGCAACTAATGTTTTTTGTCTCACCTCACATTCGTGAGTCACGGAGCTGTAAGGCTTCGACTCGGACCGGCTGCTCATCGTCGATGAATGAGTTTGTCTGCCTTCTCTGTCGCTTCCTGAATCGTCTTCTTCCATTTCGTCTTCAATATCATCATCATCATCATCTTCCTCCCCAAACTCCTCTTCATCATTATCTTCTCCGTCGTCCATCTCCCCACTCTCATCCTCCTTATCCTCCTCTTCCTGCTGTTCTCCAGCTTCTTCTGCTGGCTCGGAATCTTTCTTCTCAGTTTTTGTCTTTGATGGGCCTTCTTCCTCTGAGTCATTGTCTACAAAGGAGACAACAGAGAACTCAGTGACATGTCTGAAATATGACGGATAATGCAGTTTGTATAATAGTATGTTTCAGAAAGCCTTAGGCGCGTTCACACCAAGTATTTTTCCCACAAAGGTTCCTGAGAACTACGATTTAGTTGCGTTCACACCAAAAAGTCCCAGGAACTAAATTAGTTCTAGAGAACCTTTTTTACCCCCTTTTCAGTCCCTGCTAGAGAGCAGGGACTTTCGTGGGAGAAAAAGGTTCCTGTGTCTGATTGGCTGGGCGGAATGTTACATTCTCTTTCATCTTATTCTATTTTATATGTTTATATTGTACTTATCTTTCTTGTTTTCCTATATATCACTGCATCTTGCTTGCACCTGTAAGTCTCTTGCACAATGGTATTTCCTTACTTCTTTTTATGTCTTAAGGATAGTATTGTTGGGGGATTTCATAAAATAAAAATACACTATAAATATGGAAAACAGACTAGATTTGTTTGTTTAACTTAAAATAATAATAATAATACATTTTATTTATTTATTTTTATAGCGCTTTTCCTAATGCTCAAAGACGCTTGCATTTTATCAATATATACTCATTGAAAAAGGACATCGTTATTATTACCATAACATACACCAATGTATCTTAGATAATCCGATTTTGCTTGTTTAACTCGTCAATAAATAGTAAAACCCACTTTTGGCATGTTAAAACCTTTTATTTTAGAAGATTCTCTCAGAACTGTTACAGTATGTGTATTTTAATTAATTTAATTTGAATAATTGTGTAGTTCTTTTTATCTTTAATACTTCTTATGTAAGCTTCTTGGTTAAAATTAAGCTGTCTTTGGCTCTTTTCTTGCCTCTGTGGGACAAACAAAGGTATTCTGATGATTGAGAAGAAAAAACCTGAAAATGTATCTTCTGTACACACTGTGGACTGTAAAGGTAAATTAGCCTTAAGTATTTTCAAAAATGACAGTGTACTTATTTGCATGTAACAATAATCCCTTTGAATCTTTTCTGTCTGGATTTTGTTTGTCTACAAATTCAATAACCAGTGGAAGCTCAGAAAAAGCTGTGTTGTTGTTTGGGTTAATACGGCAGAGTAAAGCAGTGCAGCGTGCTCACCTGGTGGGAAGTTCCGTCGAGGAGGTTTTCTGATTCTTCTCCCCCGAGAGCTCATGTAGGAGCTGCCAGCGGATTTCAACTGTGATTCTTTACAGAAAAAGAGCAAAAACAAATTCCGTGGTCAAATAAAAAGAGTTAACACTGTAATGCATCTATTAGACATCATTTTGTAGTAAAGCACTGACTGGGTGTGTAGTCAGCATCTGACGCCTGTTGTGCCGCTCCTTCCTCCTCCTTCTTCACAGGAACCTTCTTTGGAGAGGGCAGGGCGGGGGGTTTTGGGGGTCTTCCTGGGTCGGGGGTGGTTTTGGCGGGCTCAGTAATAGTTGTCTGTGGTGTTTCAGGGGAAGCGTCTTCCTTTAAGTTTTCCTCATTTTGTGTGAGCTTTATATCTTCTGTGGGGGGGCTACTGCTCTCCTCTGCTTGAGATGCTGCTTCTGCCAGGTCACTCTCTGGTTCCTCTCGCTGCTCATCACCTTGCTTTTCTTCTGGTTTGTAAAAAAGAATGAGAAGTTAGCGGAGAAGAGAATTTAATACACTGGACCATAACAGTTTATAAAGCTCAGTTTAATACTTTGACTATGTTATATTGTTTGATTAAAATGTTGAATGCACTTCTGTTACATTAACGCAAATCATGTGAGCTATTCCTCATACAAATACTGTGACCCTTGCACATTCCTTTGTATTTTTTGCAATGCTACCACTTTTTAAAAATTGCACAGCTTTGTCACTTTAAATTCTTATAAAGATTAAGGTCACCTTTATTCAGTTTCAGTTCTTCACTCTGGTGTCATTTTATAATTACACACATAGATCCGAAATACACACACATGAACAAACAGGACATATAGTCATGAACTGATGAGAGCGAAGGGGCTGCAAGTGATCCGGGGCTCTCAAGCACCGGTCCAAACTCCATATTTTTGGTCGATCTTTTAATCTTTTCAAAAAAGATAAAAAATTACAACATTTAACTCATACGAATGCCCAAACAGCAGTTTAAAATGTAAAGCTTGGAATTCCTATTTCTTTAAAATGCAGGTAAAGATTCCAACTATGGAAATACCTTATGACTAACAATATAAACAAAGGACACCTCATGCCATTAAAAGTGGCGGTTAAGGTTAAATACATTCGATTGTTGAATTTATTCCAAACAAAAAACTTTTCTTGTTGACCTCGACTGCCCCTTCCTACACCAGCAGCGATATCTGATAGAGAATTGTATCAGATACGACCGTTATCGTCCTCGTGTGGCTGCGGCCTGACCTGCTTCAGCAATCGGGAAATTGAGGGCACCGGTGACTCACCGACGGCAAAATCCAGAGTTATGAGGGCCGGAGCTGTAGTTGCCATGGACTGGTACGCAGAGCACGCATTCACAATTTCTTGCATCTTTAGAAAGTTAGCAACAGCCAAGACGTCTTCTACGTTCTGTGGACTCAAACTCAGCTTGGCTGTGTACATGAACTCCAGGACCTGACCCAAACCTGCAACCAGAAACAACAATCAAATAGGTCTGGTTATTATTATTACCAATTTTCCACATTGAAAGACACACAAAAAGGATAACAAGAACACAAAAAATAACAACATGATGACAATGCAATTATAAACCATTAAATATAGAAGACATAGCCTGACATGGCATAACTTAAATTAAAGTAAATACAGGTAATACAAACACATACACAAACATTATGGGAATGATCACAACAATAAAAGTAATAGTAATAATACCAATGACAATGGTATACTTTTTTTTTTTAAAATGTATATATAAATTATATATATACTACCGTATATATATATATATATGAAACTTAAATAAAAAATAAAAAAAGAAGGTTACTTTCCCTTGCTGTTCAATCAGAATCAGAATCGGGTTTATTGCCAGGTACGTTTATACACATACAAGGAATTTGCTTTGGTTTCTGGTAGTGCGAACATAAACAATTTAAGAAAATAAGTTGCAATAGTAGGCCAAAAATATAAAGATGATAAAAAGAAACACTGAATTAACGCACAAAACAAGACAAAACAGAGCTCGCCACAACACTGAAGCAGCCTTCATCGTCGCCATGTTATTGCTACATATCCTAATTTTCCATAAAAGACTGCCAGATAGAATTAAAGGCCTTTTGTGTCTTTTAAGATTGTAAGTTATTTTCTCCGCATAGAGCAACAAGTGTAGTTGGACAGCAGTGAAAACACTGTGATAGCAAGGCAGAACAAATATTGAAAAAAAATGTAATGCATAAATACGTAGTGCGCACACTGATGGAAACCCACCTGCTGCATTGCTGATGTCCAGATGCACCACATCTTTCTGGTCCAGGAAGAGCGTACGGAAGTAAACACTGCAGGCTGCCAGCACAGCTTTGTGGGCCTTGAAGTCCACCCCGTCCACCACAAAGGTGCAGTCACAAAGCAGGCCCTGCCGACGCTGGCGGTTCAGCTGCTCCAGGACCTTCCCACTGTGCCACGGGAACTCCATCGTACCGAAGGACGCTTGAGGATGATGGAGGAGTCTCTGTGGAGAGCTAAAAGCAGAGTCAAATGGAGCACCATAGGAAATGCTCAAAAACGTGGACAGTCAGCTTGACCAGTTGTGTTCTACAGTGACATGACATTCCTGGGCCTTTATTTTAACAATACTGGAGTATGATTGAAATAATTGGCAAAATTACAATATTTTTTTGTGAGCCTTACAATGATCATTCATAATGATTACTCATTGACTTTGGCGACATTATGTATTTATTTACCTTCAATATATATAATTTAATTGAAAAACATCTAAAAATTGATTCGAAATATTTTATAAAAAACAATAAAATGTATACGGTTCAAAATATTAAATACATTTGATATAAATAAATAAGATTAACTATTTAGTAACTTGATACCTAATATAACATATTTTTTTAATCAGTATCTGAATACTATTATGACTGACCAGAGCAGTCATACCAATAATGTTTAGTGTGAAACTAAATAAAGACTTTTGGCATTCAAAAACCATGTAACTCCAACATTAATAAAGTAACATAGAGTTAAAACAGTTGTCAGGACATAGATGTTTACCTTTACCCTGTCTTCCATAATTGCAATTCAATGACATAATAACACTATGAACTAAAAAGATCAGTAAAGTTACGCGTTTATGCTTAAAAACTATCCTCATTTGGAATGTATTCGACTCGTTAAAAAAAAGGAAAAACAAGGTACCAGTGTTTTAGTCAAGTCTGTCGAAAGGTGCATGAATTGTCTGTAAGGTATTTAGGTTGTATGGTCAATAAACTCAATATAAACATGTCCTAAATGTTTTGTTCATGTAGGTTAGTGCCTGTTCCATTTCTTACAAGATACTGCAGAAAATACTCCAAACAGATATACAATTTAAAACCCAAGATCATTCGAAATATAGCTACGTTAGCTAATAAACTAAGTGCGTAGTAACGATACTGTACAAAGTAACGTCAGAAATTAGAAAATAATGACGCCAGACTTTGGCTTCATGATGGACATGCAGCATTACACAAAAACACGAGAATATTAAAGGGCAGTAAAGATGTTTCATGACTGGAAATAACGTGTCTCTAAAAGTTTTTGACAGCTTTGGTTTGACAGTGCAATGAATCGATTACAATTCCTCCATCCTTGTCGCTTTGTTATCAGGGATTAATTTAGCTTGCCTTGACATGCATGTAGTGAAGGGACAAGATGGCGGAGCGGCGAGTCCGACCTGTCTTCACCTCTTGTTGTTTTCTCTGCTAGCTCGCTCATTTCGCTCCCTGCAAGCGCCATGTTCATATAAACTAAGTCCTGAATTACCTCTTTGTTGCCGCTTTTCACTCCGGGTCCAAAATGCAGCTCGGACGATGATTCGGAATGTTTAACTTGGTTAGGCAAAACAAATCCAATCGAGCTTTTCGGTGATCGATCATGCTCCACTCAGTCCATCCAGCGCCATCTTCGTCTCTCTGATCGATTGATAGGGACCGGCCGGATGTATAACTGGAGCATGCGCAGTGTGAACACGGGCTGTGCACATGATGACCGTGTGGTGGCGCAATACGCTCAATTCATTCAAACCAGCGCCGTATAGATATAATTATAGTAGGCTAGTACTGATTCAAACCTTTATTTAACCAGGTCAGGTGGTCCCATTGAGATCATCGATCTCTTTTTCATGGGAGACCTGTCCAATATAGACAATTTCAGTGTCTGGTTCCAGAAGATTAATGTCATATTTGTTATTCTTGTCCAAAGTCTTGTATTTTTTTGCAAGCTGTCTTTACATACTACTACTTTCATACAAATATATATAGGCTTGTTTTGCCATTTAACTTTTTTTCTAACTTTTAAACTCTCATATTTATAAATCTATGTTCTAATCATGAACCATCATTTTCTAAGTTTTGAAAACGACACAAAACCACCAAACGGCTTCAATCCTATATTCTAAAAAAAATAGGAAAGGTAATAAAACATTGAATCCACAATGAATAACTTACCATTTTTGTGAGCTGATTTATTATCTATATCAGTGCTTTAATCCCCTGGCTGGTATTGGTATTATCTGAAGCAGCAACACGCTATTAATCTGATTCATAAATGTGAAGTTGAACCCATGTAATGAATGGCAAACCCCTATAACCTATAGGCTTTTGTATTAAGTACCCTTTCAATGAAAAAGATCATGCTGTATTATATGCTAGTGCCGATGTAATGAGTATAAAGTGCAATGAGAATTGTCAACGTCCTTTGAGAATAATAATTCATAACCATTTCCCCATCACTCTGAAAAGAACATATATCATTAATTTCTACGCTGCTTCACAACATAAATCATTCTGTTATGTGGTCTTTCACAGGGAAAAGCTTTCTAAAATGCAAAGGTCACAGCCTGGCTCGAACATAAAGTGAATTACAGCCACATCACAAAGCTGTCAAAATTATTTTAGATTGAAAAGAGCTTTCAAAATTATTTTCTCATGGAAACAGGACAGACAAAACACACAAAACACTGAATAGAATCACCTCTGAGCTTTCGTACTGATTTTCAGAACAGAATAGATTGCCTTGTGCTGTTTACTGCCTACTCACCTTCAAGCCCATATTTTTATTTTTTTTATTTGTATAACTATATTGAATTTTCCAATTATTTACACTTTCAGCTGTTTTAAAAAAAGAAGATTTCTCCAAGATGAAACCCTAAATGTTGTTTAAAAGCCTTCTCTATAAATGCATTCATTATACACAAGGGAGGAAATACTCAAGACATTACCAGCTATATTCGCCCTTACAAAAATGTTTTTTTTAAATACTCAAGATTTGTACGTTTCTTATAGATTGTCAACTCTCCATTGGTAGCTTAAACTATACTTTAGTCCCGATCTAAATCAATGAAATAGTTCACATGTTTATGTCAAAGCAGGATTACTTTATTCACACAAATGTGATATATTACAAATTATTATTAATGTGGTAACCATCAATTTGTTAGGTGAGTCTTCATTTTTTAAGAACTGTGTTAGAGGACAACACACAAGTACTGTGTGTGTGTGTGTGTGTCTCTCTGTGTGTGTGTGTGTGTGTGTGTGTGTGTGTGTGTGTGTGTGTGTGTGTGTGTGTGTGTGTGTGTGTGTGTGTGTGTGAGAACCTGCAGGTTTGACCTACTGCTGCTGTGTATGTTGAACTAACTCAAGAGCAGCATTGTTGCAGACATGGAGATGGAGGACCTGGCATGTTTTATAGAGCATAGTGCCAACTCTCTGCTGAGTTTTTAAAGTAGAATGGTTTAAGTAAAGACAGGAAATAAGGAAGAAGCATAAGAACAAAAAAAGTGAGAAGTTTGTGATGAGAAAGCGGGTCAGTTCTTTATATCTTGATCTCGGTGCGGAAGGTCTGCACGAGCTCGTGTTTGGCCGGTAGTCGCCGTGCTTTGACTGTTAGGGTCCCTTCTGCGCCCAGTGATGATGTCACTGAGGTGGGGTCCACATCCTCAGGTAGTTGGCACTTGTGTGTGAACGTGTTCATCACCGAACCATCCTGTGCCAACTGCCAGAAGAAACAAATACTTGGAATGACTTCATTGCAGGAATGACGTACTTTGTAGGTCTAACAGGAAGTTCGACATTCGACAAAAAGTAAATGGAATTTTTCCTTTGGATTTTGAATGATGGCATGAATAAAGCTCTTTGACAAACTTTTTGATACCTTCATGTTTGATTCAGCAAGTTCATCTTTAAAAATGAAAATTAATTGTAATATTCTAAAGCATAAATTACATTTCAGGCTATGAACCAACTGCCACAGTCGCAATACGTCAAGGTCATGATTTGGTAAATAAGGTTCCTGGTGTTAAGCGTGATCTTTGTCCCTGACACTCTGTAATCCAATTTAGCCATTTGTTACCAACTACTAAGACACAAAAAAAACGTCTAAATCATGATTGGGGTTATTACCGATTTGTATTTTATGTTGGAGAACAAAATGTCAAAATCTCTTAATTTTGAAAAAACGAATTGACTTCGAGACAAGGGAAACAGATTTTAGTTTTAACATCTCGGAAAGGCTAATATTGTCTTACAGCTTAAAGACATAAGGTAAATTCCATATTCATTTCCAACAAAAGGCTGCCCACCTTTTCCGCATGAACTTCAATCTGGTTGTTGGATGTGGTGACGATGACATCTTCAGGGGAGAAGTCTTGCACGTCAACTGTGAACTGGTACGAATCCCCAAGAGTCTTGATATTTCCAGAGCTACCTAAACCCAAGACAAGATAAGACATAATGTAAGACCACAGGGAAGCACTACTATCATGAAAGTATTGACATTATAAAATCAAACAGTATGTATGCTAATTATGTTCTGTTTCACTAGGTCTTTGTGTAACATAGGAGCGAGCCTACTTGGCTGTGTATTATTATGGTATAAAGTACGTAGAGTCACTGTTCAGATATATAAACAGCATGGTTTCAGTTTTTAGTTCAGTTTTTTTCCTCAGCAAGTTGCAAACCTTGCTGTTTGGTGCTGAGCTGTTACCTTAGAGACATTTCACCCAAACTAGCTTCCTGAAAGATGGAGTAAGTGAGCGCAGAGTTTGAGGAAATGGAAAACAATGAGCTATAAAATTGCTTTAAAACTGAGAGGAACTGTAGAGCGGGGTGACATTTTTCTGGTGTTGTCGCAATGAGTGAGACCTTTCACATTACACTAAATCACATGATCCAATTGTTAACACCCATTTAAAACTTTAAATAGCCCATTAAATGGCTGTTATCAGTTGTTATCACTACCAGTTGAATGCTTCAAATGGGCAACTGCACAAACCCCGCACATTGGGAGATAAACCTATGGGTTAAATTGTATAGGGTATTTACTGATCCATACACCCTGACCACTTCACAACGCAGATTTTGTCGCTCTTTATACTGACTCACTTATTTTTGCTTCTGTCAATTTACTATGGCCAACAGACGTCAACATGGTTTTGTATTCTTTACGGTTACCATTTGAATAAATGAGAACAACCTTCTGAATCTTCCAGTATGTGGAGCAGGCCCCTTCTGAGCAATATCTATTACACTGATAACCACTGATAACGCCCATCCAATCCGATGATAACATTCAAAGAGAGTGCCGTACTCTGAGCTCAGTGAAGAACTATGTGGTAACACATGACCTCACACACTGACTAGAAATTAGCGTGTGTGAGATATTAGCTCTGATCTCACGCAGGTCAGGTTGACTGGGTGACATCATTCCGATTGTTTGTGTATGTGCATGTATTTAGTGTGTACACCGGTCACTGGGCAACCATCTGGTCATTCCTTATGCAGGCTCCATTCCAGATACTCAGTGTGTGAAGTCATGGTGCTGGCAGTCAGTCCAGCATTCCCCAGCAGGCTTGTGTGCGTGTGTGTGTGTGTGTCTTGCTTTCCCATTAGCTGTTCCCACCCTCAGGATCTAGCACTGCTCCTACGGGATACCAACAATGGTTCCAAAACAGTTAAGCTCTCCCCCTGTGACACTGTGGGCCACACTCTAAGTCCATTTGAAGTTCAGATGTCACACATTCACAGGTCTGTGTTCGCCTACAGGGAACCAACACAGAACAGTTCACACCAGCTGCACACATTACTGAGCTAGGAGATGAAGCATAAAGTGAAATCTCTGTTGATTTTAATAGGTATTTGAAACACGAAACATCTGAAAATCCTGAAAGAATTTGCCAATATATTCTTGAAAAAATCCAATTCCAATTTAGAGTTTGTTTCCTCATCTTTTTTGCCCGTTGGTGACCCTATCAAACTACTCTCTTGATGAGAAAACATGTGTCCACACATCTATCACACGAGAGTCCTATCTGTTTGTCTCCTTCCTCTGAACTTGGACTTCTTTTATCTCACATTTATGGAGAAAAAAACCACACTTCAAACAAAGCACAGATATCAATCTACCTTGTAGTCAAAGTTCTCTCTTCACCCACTGTTGCTACTACTTTCACACCACTTTGTACATAAAAAAGTGACCTACAAGTTTCTCCAAACTTACTGGAAAACCCCAGAGCGTCACTCCCAGGCCTCATGAAGGAGCCAAAGTCCTCGGCAAACAGTCCCCGGCTCTTCTCCATGTATGGGTTACTGGAAGATGAGGATGAGGATGAAGTCTGGTGAAAACTACGCTCCGATCGATAGGCAGAGGAGTTGGTCCCACTCATGGATGGCTGAGTGTTCTGGGTTAGGCAGAGGAGGAGAGTAATGGGAGGGAAGAGGGAGGCGGAGAGAGTTGATTCTTCTGCTCTGGGACTCTTCCAGAGGCTTAAAAGTAAGAAATAATTCCCACAGCTCTTCTGTCTTCTTTCTTACTTTTTCTTTATATTGTTTTTTTTCTTGTTTGTGTTAGGTAGAATGATTCAAATTCCCACCCTGATGCACTCATCCACCCTTATATACTGTATGCTCCCTTGGGCGGTGTACACGTGTGTCACAGCTCATTGGGAAGCGGTCATAGAGATCTATATTTATCATGAGACGCACAAGCAACGGAGAGAGGGGTCTGTTGTTGGAAAAGTTCTGGGCATTGAAGGCTATGAGGTTAAGAGCTAGTGGAGAGTGGGATTGAGGGGGGGCAACAGTTGTCATTGACGCACCATCCCTGAAATAGCTTCCCTTATCTTCTCTCTTTAATGTCCCTGCACTCCAGTGATACATCAGTCAATTATTTCAGTCAAAAATAAAAGTACAGGTTATTCCTCTTAGCTGTAGATATTTATCAGTGCAGATAGTTTTGGTGTGAGTTGCCAAGTGTTGGAGCTATTGACTGTAGAGGTACTACCTACAACATAACAGAACTAGATGGCACTCGGCTTGTGGCGTTAAAAACACAAACAATCTATTTTGAAAAACTCGACAGCAATGTCTCATTCCAGAAATCTTGACCCACCTACTCAAAATAATCTACTGACCTTGTTGATCGCAGTTAAATGTACAAAGTAATTAAATTCTACCAAGCTACACTAGCTAACCATTTTACCGCGCAGAAGGAGATGTTAGCTAACCTAGTGTAAGCATTGGGTTGAGAGGTCATGTGTGGTGAGCATGCGCAGTTCTGTCCTGGTGTGCTGAAGGAGAACGTGGTGTGTCTCGACAATAATAAACGGAGGCGCTATCTGGGACGCTCCAAAAAGTACTAAGTTCCTGAGTTTTTGTTACACAGAAGTATCATTGAAGCCTTAACACCTCGGACGTTACATTGGTGGCAGCGGTATCGGAGTGTGTTTTATCTGCTCTTGGATAATTTTTTTCTGTGGACAATTACTGGACTTTCTGGTCGGCTCTGCTGGCTAGCTGTGCTAACGGTGCTAGCGCCGGAGCTTCATGTTCGGAGGAATGAAGAGTGACGGCGATATGGAAGACGATTATAACGGATGTACTGCTTCTTTGACTGGTTCTGTGAGTAATGATATTAAAGTCCTTATCTTACATGAAAAACTTTTTTTGGCAGTTGATTTCTGGGGGGTGTATGCAACAGATAGTCAATGTATGTTTCTTTATTTCATACTGAATAATATGTAAAAAAAGGAAAAATATTAGGTCCAATAAAAAAACTTTGCTTCTGGAAGCAGGCAATTTCGTGACGTCACGTGTGGTTCCCGGCTGNAGTGTGTTTTATCTGCGTCTGTGGATTGATGTGTGTCCTTTTTCTGTGGTCTAAGGTTACTTGGACTTTCGGGTCGGGAATGTTTGTCTCTGGTGGCTAGGCTGTTGCTATATCTGGTTTGTCTTGCGCCGAGGTCGTCATTGTTCGGAGGTAATGAGAGATTGTGAGGTGTGGGCAGTGTGTCGTTTTGGGTTGGGTTATGGAGACGATTAAGTAATCGTTGGGATGTACTCAAGCTTCGTTGGACCTGTCGGGTTCTGTGAAGTAATGATATTAAAGTGGAGCTGCAGCCGATGTTCAGGGGAATGGCCAGAGGCAGTTCGCTACGTGGATAAGACAGTTTGAAGCCGCTGTTCGTGCTCAGACGAGCAGTGCTAGGTGCACGACCTACGCAGCTACCTTGCTGAACATTCTACCTACCAGACGGTGCAGCTTTCCTGCTGTGGGACAGCTTGCCGGCAGATGTGCAGTGTGATTACAAACGTGTGAAGGAGAAGCTGGCGGAGGCTTTTGGCCAGAGACAGTTCCTGCTTTATTTCCAGACCTGTGTATCTGCACGGCCCCGCCAGGTGAACAAGTGTTTGGAGGTGTATGCGGCGGACATTTCCAGACTCGTGGCATGGGCTTTTCCCGATTATGACCGCGCTGCAGTAAATGGTGAGAAATTCAGACGTTTTTTGGCTGGCCTTGATCCTGCACTTCAAGCAAAATGCCATGAACAGGGGGCAACTGATATGGAGGAGGCGTTGATAATTGCTGGGCGTTGTGAGCGGGCCAGGCAGGCAATGAGGTTGAACACACCTGGTTTGCCCTACTGTCCTCCGCATCCTGCTGTTGTTGCATCGCTAAATTCACCATCGGCTGATGTTTTCGACTGTAATGCTAATACCACGGATAAGCTCATAAATGTGGTTGAATGCCTCACCTTGAAGGTGGACAACTTACAGACTGAGGTGAAAGACTTGAGAGCACATAGCCGTGGAGCTGAGAATGGCAGAGGGAGCTCCGCCTTGACCTGGGATCGTCAGAGGGTGCACCGGCGTGCCTGCCACTGTGACTGTGGCGGGTTTGGTTGCAGATCTACCACCGGGGATTCCCACAGGGACGACCGCAGCAGGGGCCGTTCTCCTCAGCGCAGACCGCAGGATGGTTTTGGTGCCAGGGAATGGTCTCCACGTGAGCGGGGAACCCGAGACACCTCTGCGGACTTCTCACCGCAACCACCAGATAGCGATGTCCCGCAAGGACCACACAGCGCTGGGGAACGTCAGCCAAGGCTAGGCGTGGAGTGAGTTTTCGTCTCCCTCTCGGCGGTCACCGAATCTCATCCTCGCCACGGACGGCTGCAGGGAAACTTCCAAGTGACTGCGCATCGAGACCCAGATGCCGGTTTCACCACTACAGGGTCAAATGGACTATTCTGCTGGGAAAGCGCCCGCTCGTGCCATGGCAGTTGGAACTCTGTTCTGTGGGTGAGTCTAACCCACAGAACTAATGTTTAGAACTGTTGAGGGTGTTGATAAATGTTTTCACTTATTTCTGAGGACTTCAGAATGTTTCATGTCTGCCTTACGGTAAACGTGTGCTAAATACCCAGTACACTTTTTCATCACACAAGTAAATGGTCAATTGTTGGACACTCTGGGTACTGTCTGACTCTTCGCCATACAGTATTGGGTGGCAAACATAGGCGAGCAGGCTGTACATGTAGTGCGAGGCGGCGAACACAAGCTATTTCTGCTGGGCGCTTTGATTTCATTGTTGCAGGGCCTCGAGCTGTTATGCGATTTGATCGGGTGTCATGCTTCACCTGCTGGGGGATGTGATTATTCCGTTTCATGCATGCCACAGATTTCATACCCAGAAAGTTGTAACATCTCGTATGTCTGTTGATGCTATTATTCTCCCTTTCAGTGAAATGATTGTCCCAGTTAATGTGGATATTATCCGGTACAGCTGGTCTGCCCATTGAGCTCTTTCTCTAGGTACCCTGCGAGCCTGAGGTGCGTGATAACGTGGGACTTGTGATTGTACGTACAGTTGCACCTGTGAAGAAGCATGCACTGTGGCTAGGCTGCTCCAACCGAAGAGAAGGATTAAAGCTGCACCACGTCTGCCCATTTAGGTGTGTGCGCACCCATGTTAATGGACTGTGAGCTACTCGCACCCCCTCTGATAGGTTTTTCCCTCTCAGCAGGGGGATACGCAACATCTGCCGGATGTGGACTGGCTTCCCGTTGTCTGCTGAAACAGAGACTGCAGCTGCAGGCTTGATGGGGAAACACCAAAGGGGTGTTCGCGCACTCTGGAAGGCAGAACAAGGAAACACGCGGTCTGATCACACACCGCATACAGGACAGGTGATCATTGCCCCGGTCAGCCACGCGCTCAAAAGCGTCGGCAACCTTACCTCAGTCTTCGCCAGAAAAAAACGAAAAAGAGAGAAGATAGGCCAGGCTCTGGATATTGAATTAGGAATGACATACATTGAAAAGAGAATGTTGAATGCCCGTGGTCCATACACCCAAGATAGTCATTCGTCAACGGGAAAAAAGACAGAACCCCCACCATGGCGATTTTCAATGAGTAAACATGGACTCAACCTCTACATAATAAAGGATTCATCATCTACTGCCACGGGGTGGAATAGACCACAATGGACGCATATGGCGGGCCTCTCTGGTTCAGCACCTTACCCAGAGAGCCCCAGCCAATGCGGTCCCAAATGATGTCATTCCAACCCGATAGGACAGTAGTGTGATAGAGAATACTTAATTTAAGATATGTTATCCCCATGTATACAATGTAACAAGAACGCCAAAAATTGTGCTTGTTCTTTATTTCTAGACAAAGAGGACCACTGGATAATAGTATGGACACACGGCTACAACCTCTTCTCTATTAATTGTATCTCCAACGATGTTCTCATCTCTCATTTAATATACAAAAAAATGTTTCTGACGAAATAACGGTAGGCCCGACACGCTTGGAACCGGGATAAACATGATCACCTGTCATGATATGCGATGTGTGATCAGACCGGGGCTCCTTTCTGCACCTTCCCAGAGAACACCGAACACCACCTTATGGCATAAATGATCACCAAATACAGCCCATGAAGCTGCAATAGTAACTCTGTTCAGCAGAACAACGGGAAGCACAAAGCAACATACCAGGCAGAGCAGTAGCCCCCTGCTGAGAGGAAAAACGTCGAGAGGGTGAGTAGTCACTATAAAGATCCTTAAACATGGTGGAAATCACACCTAAAATGGCAGACGGAAGGATTGCAGCTTTAACTCTGTCTCTTCGGAGATTGAGCAGAACCTGGAGACACCAGTGCATCAGTTTCTTCACAGTTGGCACAACGTATAATTCACAGTCACAACGTATTACACGCACCTCAGGAACTAACAGGATTAACCGAAGAAAGATCAAAATGGCAGACTGCGTATGCGAATACCGGGAAATCCACATTATTACTGGGACAAATCATTCACGAAAAGAATA